TCTTTCCTCTTGTTCTGCTCCAACATCTCGTGGGGCACTGGTATATTGGGCACTAACTCAAAAGACAAGAAATCTAGACTATTCCCAGGATTTTCCCTGGGAATACAATCCCAGGAATCTTCTCATAAATATTGTATCCAGTTTTAGGGAGAGTGGTGGAAAAAGGTTTGTCAAGGGCTTTTGCTTCTAATTCCGACCAAGACACTCTACTGGAATAAATACTGGCTCCTGTCACCAAGATCAACCCTAGGGGAAAACTTGAGAAAACTGGTGGGGAAGAGACTATTTCTGACTGATGAGTGGAGGTGGGTAGTGAATTTGTCCTGGGGCAGAGGCACCCCAGAACAGCGGGGTTAGAGCAATACAGAAAGGAAACAGTGGAGGTGCTCATGCAAATCATATTAAAACCACAAGGCCTAAATAATTCGTCAGTTAAAGAAAAAATCAAGACCATTGTAGGGACGTTTTTAGAAATTTATGAGGAAATATTAAAGATGACAGGAATGAAAGAAGAGAAATAACATAATCATGGATAGAAAATTTTATATCCTAAAAATGCCAATTGTCTCCAAATGATTAATTACTTGATTCAGTTCCAAACTCCCCAGAAGATTTTTTATGGAATTGAATAATATAATTCTTAAATATACTGAGTATAGAAGAGTAAAGGGTCAAGAATAACCTGCACAGTTTTAAAGAACAGAGCAGAAAGTGGAAAATATGCCCTTCCAAATATCAGGGCTTACATGAAGCTGGAATAATTATAATAATGTAGTATTGGCACAGGAATAAGATGATTGACCAGTGGAATAGGACAAAGAGCTCAGAAATAGTGCACATAGAGAACTTTGTGACAGCGATTGCATGTCAGAGGGGATATGAAGAACTGTTCAATAAAAACAGCAGGGGGGAAAATGTTATTTATATGCAAAAAATACGATTGGATCACTATATACAGTATATACAAAAAGCAAACCCAGATGTGTTAAAGACATAAAAGTCAAAAAAAATCTTTAAAAATGTGTATTATTTATGTATTGCTGCATAATAAATCACCCTAAAACTTAGTAGCTTCAAACAATAAATATTTATTATCTCACAATTTCTATGGGCCAGGAATCTGTGATCTGCTTAGCTAAGTGGTTCTAGCTCAGTGTCTATCATGAGGTTGTGGTTAGGACGTTGACCAAAACTGCAGAAAGTTTGCCTGGAGCTAGAGGTTCTAGTTCCAAGATAACTTACACATTCTGGTGCTTGGCAGGAGGTCTCAGTTCCTCACCACATAGAACTTTCGGTAGGGCCCGCTGAGTGTCCTCACGACCTTATCACTGGCTTTCTCCGAAGAATAAGGAGGCTGCAATGACTTTTATGGCTTCGTCTAGGAAGACACACACTGTGACTTCCACCATATTCCATTCTTCAGAAGTGAGTCATTAAGTCTAGTTCACACTCAAGGGAATCTCTTAAAGAGAGGAGTAACAAGGAATTTTTAGACATATTTTTAAACTACCATGGACTTTCAACAGAAAGATAAGTACCTTTCAGGCCTTGGGGTGGGGAATGATTTTTTAAAACAGGACATACAAACTGTTGATTCTAATTAAAGAAAAGATTGAAAAATTAGACCTCGTTAAAATTAAGAACTTTCATCCTTTAACACCTTAGAGCAAGTGAAAGTTACAAAGTTGGGAGAATATATAACAATATACCCAATGGAAAAGGATTGATAACAAGAATATATAAATAACTCCTACAAATCAATAAGAAAAGTCCAAACCACCTAGTAGATAAATGAGCAAGAAGAAACACGTAAGACCAATAAACCTATGAACAGGTGTTCAGCATCATTGTTCATCAGAGAAATGCAAATGAGACCATAATGAGATATTACTTTATACCCATTTAACAAGCAACATTTTAAAAATCTGACAATATCAAGTGTTGGAGAGGATGTGGTTTCGACAGAAATGAACACCTTGCTGGTGGGGTATAAATTAATGCAACTACTTTGGAAAACAATTTGCCACAACAAACATAAAACAAGAATTAAGAGAACAAGATTATTTTAGATAATGATAAAGGCTACAAAGAAAAGAAAACATGGTGATGGAGAGAGAATAAACAGCAGGCCAGCATGTGGGAAGAAGCTGCCTTTCTAAAGGGTTGTCAGCAGAGGAGACAACAATTCATGGAAGACATTTGAATATAAAGAAGGAGCCAGACATGCACTCAGGTATGATTTTTTGTTGTTTTTGTTCCAAGTTTCCTAACCTTTGCTTAACAGTTTTTTTACTTACTCTTTTCAGGATTTTTCGCTATCTCCTTTTCACCACCCTATTTTTCATCAGACTGCTGGGCTACATGTTTTTCCATTTAAGTTTTGTAAATCCAGATCTCCTTGTCATGATACTGCCCAAGATCCTGAGCAGGAGTATCTTGTGGAAGCTAAGAAGCTTTCTCCTTCCATCTCTCACCCTTGAGACAGAGGACATGTTACCTCACTGATCCCTGAGAAGTATCCTTGAATGACAGAAGGCAAATGGGACCCGAGCCTGGAGATGGGAGACGGTGGAACTCATGGAGGGAAGTGGTTTCCTTCGGTTTTTCCCTTGAGGTTTGCCTACGTCACTACCTTCTGTCTCCATGTCATCTTTCCAGTATTAACCATGCCCAGTAAAGAGCTCTGTCAATAGGTTTCTGTGGCTGTATGGATAAGCTGCATC